TATGGTAGAGTTAAGAAGCGGGACGGTATGTGTATATATGTATAAACTTGAGCTGAGTTGAAATTTAAATTTAGTATTGGTTAAAAAAGTATAAATATGAATAGCTTAATAGGGCATAATCAATGCGAGCCAAGATACAAAGTAGATAGATTTTCGATTATATATTTTATTCATTTGATAAAAATCAAATAAACAAATAATTTCCAAATACTCTACTTAAACAATTTATAGTACTTTAGCTCTCTTTTGTTTCACAACTTTTAATTTAACAAACATTGTCTACATAACTTACTCATATTAGTTGGGTATATCCAGCTAAATATTTACTAAATATATTAAACTTTACTCTGATAACCGAGCTGTAGGTTAAATATTATACCATTTTCTGACTGCATGAAACCTCTTTTTCCACTATGAAAAACTAATTAAATGATCCTTGGAAAGCCGCAGGATGCGAATTGCGCAGTGCCTAAAACATCAAATGCCGCAAGCCGACGCGAATTCTATCGAACGTTCGTTCCCAATTTCCAAGTCTTCGATTAGATGCAGCTTGTTTGAACTGAGCCGCCCAGTCGCTGGCCACAGTTGCGGATAGATTTGTGTCGATGTTGCATCCACATGCAAATTACGCAGATTAATTGTGGCAGCGGTCACGCCCATTAGCCAGCCGCCCTTAGTAAGCGAGTGTGTGTGTGTGAATGTGTGTGTTACGTGTAGCTGCAACAGCAGCCGTGACCTTCGACCTTTTGTTGTTGTTGTTGTTGTTTCTGGTTCTCTTCTTTAGATATTTTTTCACATGCCATTTCATGCCGCTGCTCCTGCTGCTGTCATTGTTGTTGCTGCCTGTTCGTCGTCCTGTCGTCCTTTTTTGAGCATGCTAAAAATCGAGACGTCTTATCCAGAATTTCTGGCCGGATTAAGCATTTTATGACGGCAAATGCTGTCAATAAAACGCTAAGCGCTTTCCGCTAATCCCCCAAACTGTAAAATCTATCTGCATCTGAAGCAGCCTGTATCTGTATCTGTATCTGTATCTGTATCTGTATCTGTATCTGTATCTGT